AATAATGTAATGGATCACCCACTTGTTCAAGAGTCTCCTCTCTCTACAGATATATAAGTAATTTTAAATTATTAATTTTTAAATTTAGTATTAATTTATTATCTTTTCTCTTACACTTCTCATTTTACATCACAATTATAATATTATTTGATTTTACTTAATTCAATTGATTTGATTTGATTTATTTTAATATCCATTCCAACTGTTACGAAACATTTTTAACATTCTATCTATTGATATTATTTAAATCTTGCTTCTTTAATATTTTATTTTAAATTTTTTAACACTCTATCCAAAACAACCCAAAAGCTTAAATTAAATTCCAGCTGGAAAAATCAGCTTAAATAATTATATAATTGTTTGCAGGAAGCATTTGACCTTCGTTTTTCCTCTTTAAAACCCCGCTCACTTCTGTTGCCAGATTCATCCCAATCTATTTTCTGGGCTGCGAGAGGGTTCAACTTAGAGAGCAAGAGCCTGTTGTTGTTTTTGTGAGTTCTAAAAAGAGAGAATGGGCTCCTTGGCATTCCTTGAAAATCCCCATGCAGTATGCATTCCCTATCCAGCTCAAGGTCACATAAACCCGATGTTAAAACTAGCCAAACTCCTCCATCACAGAGGCTTCCATATCACTTTTGTCAACACAGAGTACAACCACAAACGCATCCTAAGATCTCGAGGCCCCAACTCTCTTGATGGCCTCCCATCATTTCAATTCAAAGCTATCCCCGATGGACTCCCTCCAACAAGTAACGATGTCACACAAGACATACCATCACTATGTGAATCCACCAGCAAAACATGCTTGGTTCCTTTCAAAAACCTCATTACAAATCTTAACGACACGTCTTCATCCAATGTTCCTCCTGTAACTTGCATTGTTTCTGATGGAGTCATGAGCTTCACGCTTGAGGCAGCACAAGAGTTGGGTATACCTGAAGTTCTGTTTTGGACAACAAGTGCATGCGGATTTCTGGCTTATGCTCATTATCACCAGCTAATCGAGAAGGGTCTTACACCACTCAAAGGTTTGTTTTTAATGTCAAATGAACTACATACGCAGTTTATTTCACCTATTTCTTTTACTTTTTAATTAGTGACAAAACAATTAGCATATGCCGATTTTTTAATATTACAGTTTATTAGCAATAATTAATTAAGTCCGTCTTGGTAATCATTTTTTGTTTCCTTTTGAATTGCAGATGAAAGTTACTTATCCAACGGTTACCTGGATTCCGTGATAGACTGGATACCAGGCATGAAAGGCATCCGTCTGAGGGATATCCCAAGTTTCGTTAGAACCACCGATCCTGAAGATTTCATGCTGAAATTTGTAAAGGCGGAGACTGAAAGAGCTAAAAAGGCCTCTGCTATTGTTTTGAATACATATGATGCCTTGGAGCATGAAGGCTTGGTTTCTCTTGCTTCAATGTTACCTCCTGTGTACTCCATTGGTCCCCTTCACCTGCTCCTGAATCAGGTCACAGATAGTGATTTAAAGCTGATCGGATCAAACCTATGGATAGAAGAATCCGGGTGTCTTGAGTGGCTTGACTCAAAAGAACCCAATTCAGTTGTTTACGTAAATTTTGGAAGCATAACTGTCATGACAAGTGACCAATTAACAGAGTTTGCTTGGGGACTTGCAAATAGTGACCAGACATTTTTGTGGGTCATTAGGCCTGACCTTGTTGCGGGTGACTCCGCGATGTTACCCCCAGAGTTTGTTTCTGCCACTAAAGAGAGAGGTCTTTTCTCAAGTTGGTGCTCTCAGGAACAAGTACTAAGCCACCCATCCATTGGAGGTTTCTTAACACATAGCGGATGGAACTCCACAATTGAAAGTATTTGTGGAGGAGTGCCTATGATTTGTTGGCCTTTCTTTGCTGAACAGCAAACCAATTGTCGGTATTGTTGCACCGAATGGGGCATAGGCATGGAAATAAACAGTGATGTTAAGAGAGGTGAAGTTGAGAGCCTTGTTAGAGAGTTAATGGGAGGAGATAAAGGCCGTGAAATGAAAAAGAAAACCAGGGAGTTGAAGAAGATGGCAGAAGAGGCAATTACTTCCACCGGTTCATCTTGCATGAATTTGGACGACATGATTAACAAGGTGCTACTGTCTCCAAGAGATTAGTAAATTGATTAAGGTTTTAATTGGAGCAGAAATTTTTTATCTATTTAGAATAAATTCTTATTTTCGAAATAGAAGATTTCTTTCAAATTCTCCTTATAATTATTGTAATACCTTTACGCAACTCAAGTGAATGTTTTCTTTATATTAGACTTTTAGTTAGTACTTTATTTCACTTTCTTTCTTTAATTAATTAATTAGTGGATTTTTTTTCGTTGTTTGAAAGTGATTTGCACAACTTGAATTCAGATTCGTCTTATAAGAAATGAATTTGGAGTTGTAAAATGGAGCATCCACATTTTTGTTTTTCGCCCTTTATAGTCTTAGCTTATAGCTGTATCGTGGGAAATAAGGAAGGAAGGTGCATACTTTAAACCATTAAAGAAGTTGACATTGAAAACTTTAGTAGCATTGATAGTACATCCATTTAAATCGAACTACATGGTACATGCACTTGTTAAAGTTGATAATACGTTTTTCTTTCATTTTCATTATTGAAAATATAAGTTAATATATAATAATGAAGCCGACCACATAAAAACGACTACGTATAAGCCGTCCCTTGGCAAGGATGAAGAGGTGGCCGGTGGTTTTCAAAAGCAAAATTGTCATGGCTACCCTAACAACTTCGTTTTGTTCTCTCAATTCTCCTCATGAGAGGTAAGCGAGTTTGATTTGTTAAGTTAGAGTCATAGCTAGATATTATCATTCTATTGTCATGTTTTTTTTTTTATATATATATATATATATATTTTAATCTATAGTTATGGTCTTTGAGTTTTAGCATCCCCATGTTGGCTGTTCTTTTCTACTTCACTTTGTACATTATGGGGGAACGAGTTCTTTATGTCGACATTTCAGGGAGGTATGCCTTCACTATTTTACAAAAAATAAAATAAAAAATAGAGCATTGTAAACAATATATGATTTATATAATGCATCAAAATCCCAAAATGAAATTAACTTGTTTAAGATTTAAATAACAAGTGCTCAAGAATACTTGAAGGATAACGTTAAAAGACAACACGTACATGCAACAATTGCACAATGTTAGATTTCAAGGCCATTAAAACTTTTGAAAAGAAGAAAAAAAAATACAAGAAGAAGAAACGGAAAATACAGTGCAACCACGGCTTTAGGCGTAGAGCAGGCTATGACGGCCTTTGCTTTGGTCTTTTTCCCTGTGATTTATACGGGCATAGGGCTAAGATATGTTTATGTTTACACTTTCAAGTTTCGAAAACTGGCCTGACTTAAATCGATGATGAAAACACCTGGCTGAAACCCAAAAGGCCTATGAGCAATATTGAAATTGAGTCCTCTGAACACTGTAGAACCGCTTCGATCGTTTGCAGAGTCGCCTTTGCTAGCGTTTACCTTAGAAACAAGACTCGAACGGGTTGGGCTGGATTTGAGTCATTAGTCAGTAGTTTGAAGTGGGCGGGAAACAAAGCCCATTGAACTAAGCAAAAACACTTCCACTAATCCTCCTCATGATTCTCAAGTATGATTTAAGCCTGTTGCAAATGATAGACCTAATAAAAATTAAATTTATAGTTCGTCTATAACATCAACCTATGAATTAAGAGCAGACCATACTGTTTCAACTTTAAATAACACAAATTTTAGCTCAACCTATATATTACATAACTTTAATGGGATTTTCCAGAAAAAAAAGCTAAAAATCAAATGGCTGTTGAAATATAGAATATAAGAGGAGAACTCTTACTATGTATTGGGCTCAACTAAATGTAACCACGAGTTTATCTTTTCCATCCTCTCTTGGAACACTTATAATTCAAGATCGTTTCCTTTCCTTTCACTTTCACATTTTTTAATACCTTTGATGTGATATACCAAGTATATATATACCTCGTATTGTTGATTTGATTATGCAATTATTAGTTTGGGGATTATGACATACAAAACAAAAAATTAAAATCTTAAATGAAATCACATATGGAAATGAAATTCCATCAATTTTTTTGTCAAGACTTCCATTGAAAATTTCACGTCAATTCTGAAACTTTTTGAAAAACTTCCAAAATGTGTATCAACTTACCAATATATTAGCTGACGGAAAATTTTATCAAGAAAATAAATTGTGAAGGAATTGAATATGAAATAGAAAACCAAAGAGATATTTTTTGACTGTAGTAGTTCATTGCCTATTCCATCAGCATTTAATGATGACAAAATCTTCATTATATACCGATGAAATATTCCATCATTATTTTTTAATTTTCTGATAGTGATTCTCTTTTTTCTTTCTTATGAGTAGATTTGCATTTTCTTCTACTCCAAGGCCACAAGTTTGAATTTATTGGATTTGTGCTCTAGAAAACAGGGAATCTATGTGTGTGATCCAGGTTTTTTTTTACAAAGGAAAAGATTCAATTTTCAATCTTGGAAGGAGGAACAACACTAATGCTCATCGTGAAACTACCCATTGGTAAAACCTATGTAGTTGCACAATAATGTATGTTTCAGGAGCAATAATCCTTCAATGCAGTTGGAGTATACGCTAGTTCTTTCATATCTAGATAGAATCGATTCATGATATTTTTTTCAGCGCACGTGAATAAGTAAAAGGAACATTATATCCAGAAGCATGTAACAAATGTTTTCACCTGTTTACGAATATTGCTTCTATACGCAATAATAAGAAACTAGAAACGTGAAACGTACTATAAACAAATTTGAACATAATCTTACCCTGCAGAGTCATTTTTTTATCACAACAAAGGCTTCTCCACACGCCAATTTTATGCGGAAATACAAGCATGGTACCCTTTCATTGATTTAGAAGGGGCCTGCCTTGGATACAGATCTTCTTATTGCAACATAACGATAAAGGAAAGAAAAGAAGTGGATCCATGTCTTGATACTTAGCTCTCACCATAGGTTCCGAGTCCAGTTATTCCTGGGACAATCACATCTCCATTAATTTTATCTCGTGGAGCTAGAAGCACTTTGTTTATCATTTTCTCCAAATTCAAGCATGATGACCCAGTGGGACTAGCAGCGGCTTCTTCTGCCTTTCTTTTCCACTCCTTGGCTTTATACTTCATTACCTGTCCTTGATCTCCCTCCATCAGTTCTCTAACAAGACTTTCAATTTCATTTCTTTTAACATCGCTGTCTATTTCCATCCCTATGCCTAACTTGTTACAACAGAACCAGCAATTGGTTTGTTGCTCTGAAAAGAAAGGCCAACAAATCACGGGCACGCCACAGCACAAACTGTCTAGTGTAGAGTTCCATCCACTATGGGTCAAGAACCCTCCAATGGAAGGGTGCTGCAGGACTCGTTCTTGTGGACACCAACCAGCTACTAGGCCCCTTTCTTTTGTTTCAGCCACAAATTCTGGAGGAACTATAGCTGAATCACCAACAACGAGATCAGACCTAATGACCCACAAGAAAGTGCACATGCTGTTTGCAAGTCCCCAAGCAAATTCAATGAGTTGTTGCGGGGTCATGACTGTGATACTACCAAAGTTGACATAGATAACCGAGTGTGGTTCTTTAAAATCGAGCCATTCAATAAAACCAGGTTCTTCTTTCCACAAATTGGATGCTATAGAGTTCAAGGCATTTTCTTGGTCCTGATTTTCGAGTAACTGAAGAGGACCAATGGTGTAGAGATGAGGGAGGGTGGAAGTAAGAGGCTTTAAGACCTCTGACTCCAAGTCATCAAAGGTGTTCAAAATAACAGCAGAAGCATTTTGAGCACTCTCCACTTCTCCAATTGCAAAATTGAGCATTATATCTCCAGGATCTGTTGTTCTGATAAAGGTTGGCAAATATTTCAAGGAGATACCTTCCATACCAGGAATCCAATCAATAACGGTGTCCAAATACCCATTTGTTAAGTAACTTTCATCTGCATGTCACCCACAAGGCTATATCAGGACCATGATTTTATCATATACATGTGTGTGTGTGTGTGTGTGATAACGAACACAGGAGATCTACTTACAATGGTGAACATAAAATTAGTTATCATATATATGTATATAGTGGTAAAATCTAGCCAGGCTAGAAGCTTTAAAAATAATTTTTTACCTTTAAGAGGCACGTAGCCCTTTTCAATTAAAGGGCGATATTGCAAATAGGACATGAAGCCACAAACACTGGCTGTCCAGAAAAAAACGTTAGGAATACCTAGTTCCTGAGCAGCTTTGAGTGTAAAGCTCATGATGCAATCAGAGACTATACAGGTGACTGGAGGAACTTTGGAAGAAGAGGTGTTATTGAGTCTGGATAGAAGGTCTCTGAAAGGAGCTAAGCAATTTTTCTTGGTGGAATCGCAGAGAGATGGCACATGCTGAGTGGAGTCAGCATCTGAAGGTGGGAGTCCATCAGGAATTGTTTCAAACCGAAAAGTTGAGAGGCCATCGAGGGAGTCAAGGCCTCTAGATCTTAGGAGGCGTCGATGGTTGAATTCCGTGTTAACAAAAGTGATATGGAAGTCCTTTTGGTGAAGAATTTTTGCTAGTTTGAGCATTGGATTTATGTGGCCTTGGGCTGGGAATGGTAAGCAAACCACATGAGGAGGACATTTTTCGGTGGCTAAAGAAACCATTTTGCTCTTTCTGCTTGGCAAATTTGCTTGGAGTGTGCGTTAATATATATATATAGAGAAAGGCAGCTCTTGACAAATTTTTGGTTTGGTAGACGTCTTGACAATTTTCCAGCCCAGTATATTGTTTTTATCTGGTAAAGTTTTGGGTTTCTAGGTGATGAAAAGGCTCCTTGGCTAGATGCCAACATATGGTTAAAAGATTACAAAAGAAAAGGAAGAAGAAGAAGCTAGATGCCATCGAAAAAGTTCTAATTCTTTGGCTGTAGTTATATATTCTATTGTTTGGAACTTTCGAATTCATTAGATGAAAAATTTAATTTTCATGAGAAAGCATAATGAATTATGCGTGCGATAACTTTTTCTCGTTTCATTATAGACATGTATTGGAATTCTATTTCTTATAAATTTCTTATTTTTTTATTAAAAAATAATTTTTTTAAATATTTTAAATCATTTTAATACAATCATCTTAAAAATAATTTTTAAAAAATAAAAAAATATCATTTTAATATATTTTAACATAAAAAATATTTTAAAAAATAATTACAATTACACTTTCAAACAAACACTTATTTCTAACAAGTATCTATCTTGATATCTTAAAATTTAAATTTAAATTCTATTTTTTCCTTTTGAAAACTCAATAAAAAACTAGTTTGTTGAACATGTGCTTCTGTAATATTGTAAAATTCAACAAAGCTTACCAAGTCAATATAATTACTTGTCAACTTTAACTTTTGATTTTGATTGAAATCGAGTTTTAAAGTAAATTGAAAGTTATTCAATGATAATTTAATATTTTTTAATAAAATAATTAGAATGATGACTTTTTAAATAGATACACATTAAACTAGATTAAATTATTCAATTAATAATCTAGGGTATGATCATGACTCAGATTAACAACTTTATATTTAAAAATTTAATTTTTATTTAATTACATGGTTATATAAAAAGATATTACTAGGAAAGACAACAATTGAAATCATTGAGGTATATTTTTTTCAATCTTAATTTTATTTTTTATTAATGCATCTCTTTATTATTTTAATAAAAACATTTTTTATTGTAAGCACTATTTTTAAAATAAAAACCTATCATAATTTCAAAAGCAAGTTTAAATCAATATTAAAATAATCTTAATATTTTGTGTGTGATTGAAATAAACAAAATTAATAAATATGGTGAAATAATGTCAAAAATCAATTAAAAACTTAAACAAAAGAAATTTTATTTTTATTTAAAAAATTAATAAATATGGTGAAATAATATCAAAAATCAATTAAACAAAAGAAATTTTATTTTTATTTAATATAAATGATGAGTTTTTATTTCTTGTTTTGGCATATCATGCACATAATAATTGAAAAAATAATTGTTAATATTCCCATAAAAACCTAAAATAATATTTAAAAACACGGAAAATTGAATATTAATTTAAATATCATATTTTTTATAATGCACTTCAATAAAAATAAAAAAATATACTGAAAAAAAACTTTTTTAAAAAGGAGGCATATGTGCTAAAAAGATGAGCTTGCTGGCCGGTCCTAGCCAAAAAAAAAAAAGAGTGCTTGGATGTAAAGGTATTTATTTATTGTTCCGGACATTATAAAGTTCGGTAGTGTTGCATATTAAAAAATAAAATAAATTTTTTTATAATTTATTTTATCTTGTTTTTAATTAACCAAATAAAATAAAAATATATTTACTTTATTTTATATATCATTATCAAACATCACTCTGTATTGATTTTTTTGTTTCTTTTTTTGCCTTTTATCATAGTTGTTTTCATTTATTTTAATTTAAAACCCTAATTAAATAGTTGTTTACAGTGTATGTAAATAAACAGTGTGGATATACATCGCTTAAAGCTGTAAGCTCATGACGTGTTTGATGTGTGAACACTCGTGGATTGGTCCCCGAACAAACCTAGAAGAGTTTTGTCACTTGCGGTAATGACGAACCAGCCTCGCTCCGCTCCGTTTAATGCAAAGCCGGCTGGAGTACAATGATCATTTGGACTATGATTTAATGCTTCCATTTAATTAAAAAAATTAAAATTAAGTAATATTTTATAAAATAAAAACTCAAATCACTTGATGGATCTAAAAAACAGACCACTGATCGCAAACTCCATCGTCACATATATCTACAGTGATATCAAATAGCTAACTGGTGAAGGAAAGTGAACTAACGACAGAACTCAACGGCAACAACGTGCAAACCGACTGTATTTAGTGCAATCATTTGTTAATTTAATGTAATTAATGATTTTGTTGAATAATTGATAAAATTGTTATTAATTTAACACATTATTTGCCAGATTCTTCGTACAATTATTAATAGCTGAATGAAATCCTGAGAATTGCATTATTCCTATATGAATACAAAATTTGAATAGTAAAATAACATAACATAATGATATGTCAACAATCATGTAGATTCGAGCACTGTTTCAAATTATAATAATTTGATATTCCGGGATGCTTGGGACTCCATGTTGTGTTACGAGATTGCCATGCTTTACTCTCTTGATGAGTTGTCTTTTCTTTTAATTCTATTATGTTTTGTGTCATAATTTAATTTTTATCTCCTTTTAAAGAACAAAAAATTATATTAAAATATTTTGACATAAAATTTGATAAATTCTTCAAAAGAAAATAGTTATTGAAAAATGATCCATATATATATATATATATATAGGGATAAAGTTGGAAAAACAATGAAATTCAAAAAGCGATGACCAAGACAGAGCATGTGCAAAATGGTCATGAATAATTTTTGAAGGACAAATTAGGGATATTATTGAAGAAGAAATGAAGAAAGAGGTTGAAATTGACTAGAATTTAAAGAATTGAACGATCAAGAATCAAAATGAAAGGGGTAAAAAAATTTAGGAATCTTATTAAGTCAATTAAAGGCTTAATTAAAAAGAAAAAGATACATTGGAGTTCTTTATTTTAAATGTGAAGAACTAGTCGAATCTAAAGAATGAAACTTCGAATATCTTTTGTCTAACGAGTGTTGGTTGCAGATTCTTAACCCTTCGATTACTAATCACCCTGGCCCGATTCCTGAAAAGAAATAGAGATGTATTAAAACGCCAAGAGATGGCGGAGGAGGAGTTACAAATCTGCAAAAAACAAACAGATTGTGCAGCAGAAACAGAACGAAGAGGGAAAGGCCAAGAGAACCACATGAAACAGACAGAGAGACAGAGCATCAAATTTTGCAGCATGTAGCTTTGCCTCCACACAAAAACAGAGCTGTCAAGCTAAACTACCATCACCGACTATCCAAAGCAACTACTGGTTAGGCTAGCTATCAAGAAGGTTTCTACATCTACTGTAAATTAAGTTTTTATACTAGACGTACGGCTCTACGGCACTGATGTTTTCCAACCAGTTGAAAGATCACCCTTCCCACCACATTGAGGCAACAAGGGCAAAAGGAAACATGACATAATTTTTTCCTAGAGAGCAAAAACCAATATCATGAGAGGGTAAAAAAGGTTGCCATTGCCGAACAGATTTAGTTACTGGCCTATTTGAGGTGCATTAGATTTTAGCAAAGATGGACCCTTAATATATGCACCTAGCATGCAGTTCGTCACAAATATTTTAAATAGGAAGAGATGAAGCATCATCAAGCAGCTCGACCCCATCAAACGAAGGAGGAGAGGGACCGTGGCCTAAGCCAAATGATTTGATGTGATCTTTGAGTGATCTCTTATGCTTAAAGTCAGAGCCGCACACACAAAGCCAACGCTTGCCACAATTTTTCTGGTGGGTTCGCCAGTCGCCTTTCACAGCCAAGAATTTTCCACACTTGCGACACATGAACGTTTTAAGTCCATGCTTCCTCTTATAATGTGTTTGCAATGTTCGAAAATCTTTCAGGGGCTTTGCTCTTGGGTGTTCGATATTGTTCTTGCACCCTTCGGCGCAACAGTAGCAGGGAATGCCTAACATGGCCCGTGGTTGTGTTCCCTTCAGCGATTTAGGTCCTCTACGATACTGTGATCCATGACCCCACAAGTGCATCTGGCACAGAAATCGTGCGATGCGGCAAGAATACAAGCAAAATGAAATGTTAAATTAAGAAACAAGAATGTTGCAATACTTCTTTTTAAAATTGAAAAAAAAACATCGAAACATGCAGTGGATATACAAGATTTAATTAATTAGCATGCATGTGACTTGAACATGAAGATTGTTGTAGCGGTTGAAGGTCTTGAAGCAGACATGGCAAGAAAAATGAGTAAAGCCGATGAGTATTTGCTCAGGAGTTGGTGTCCAATATTGTTTAGCAGTTAGATTGACATTTCCCTTGACATTTTGATCAATGGAGCTATGGCCGGAATAATCAGGAAGGCCAATCCTTATGGCCATCGTAACATCTGCATCCATGTCTTCATCGCCAATTGCTTTGGGATTTTCACTGAATGGTGCCTCTGGAGAATTGATTAGGGAGCTCAGAAATGGGTAGTGCCGCGAGAACTATGACCAGTGCCTGGAAAGAGATCGAGTGGCTCGATATCACTGTGGTTAGTAGATGAAGAAGCTATGAGACAAGAATTGATTGAAATATCTGAAGGCTCCATCCTAGAAGAGCAATGCTAATTAACATGAATTAATGGGTACATAATGTCTACTTGATTAACTTAGGTTTTTATAATGAGGTCAGTGCTAATATGCTTGACTGGTGATCACGAGAGAATAATGCGGTTGAATTTCAAATCTGTTGCTACAGTACCCGAACCACACTAATATTAACACCAAGAGACAGCCATCACATGACATTTAATGTGATGGTCCCACCATCACATGGTATGGGACCATACACAACATGGCTCGATATCACTGTGGTTAGTAGATGAAGAAGCTATGAGACAAGAATTGATTGAAATATCTGAAGGCTCCATCCTAGAAGAGCAATGCTAATTAACATGAATTAATGGGTACATAATGTCTACTTGATTAACTTAGGTTTTTATAATGAGGTCAGTGCTAATATGCTTGACTGGTGATCACGAGAGAATAATGCGGTTGAATGAAAACAACGTTTGCCAACGAGCTCATAAATCTATCCTGATTGTTCTGTTCATCTACATTTGGAATGGAAAGGAAATAACTTAATTTCTGAGGCCCATGCCAGCTTAACTTGGAAAGAGTTACACTACAGCAGGTTAAAACTCTAAGGCAATGCGTTACAGAATCCGGTGAACTCTTAACGGTGGCTTTGACATTACTTAGAGAGAAATCGGAGAGAAATCTAAAGAGAGTTTGCAATATTGCAGGGTGGTGATCGTTATTTTCTAATTTAGGAGGTGCATGTGGACCTATCGTATAATCATGCGATACAAGTTTTGTTCTCTTTCACGATTTTGGCGGTACTATCAGCGAAAGCATGATAATTCCCACGAGCATGTTAACGATTTTTCTCCCACGTCAAAGGAGAAATATATAAATAGTTTGCCTCAGCGGCGATGTCGATGTTATAATACAAATGAGTTATCATCACTCAGCCAGCTCTATTGTTAAAATGCTTTCCGTTAAATTCATTAAAAATGATAACTCATTTGTATTATAACAACAACATTTTTGTCATAAATTCAAATGATGAATTAATTGGATAATGTTGGAGGATCTATTTGGGAATTGTTTTAACTTAGAGATTTAGTTGGGAATCACGTGATGGTTCGGGAACAAATGAATTAATTTTATTTTATTTTTTTTAGATTTTAAGTTCTGAGCTCAATCTAAGAATTTTGCAAGATGGAGAAGAGAAATCGGAATGGGTCCGGTGAGTGTGAAAAAACCGGAAACCGGAATGGGTCCGGTGAGTGTTAAAATACCGGAATAAGGGTATTGTGATTATCATTTAATTTGTAACACACATATGAATAAGGTTAATGGCAGGACTCTAATCTCCTTTTTCTTTTCTTTTCTTGTTTTGCAGAAGAAACCTGAATCTCCTTAGTACATGGAAAAGGCATTTTATGAGACCAGCTAGTTGCTAGCTCAGGATATAAACATGTGAATCAGAGTCAAATATTTTAGATAAATATTAACTAGTCATTTGCCTGATGTGAACTGCAGGTTAAATAATAATATTTTGAAATGTATAATATGTTTGAAATGATAATATCATCATAACTTGAAGATTGTTTTGGATGCATGTCTACTGCTCTTTGGTTTGTTTTAAGTTTCAAAAAAACAAAAGAGGTGATTGTGCTTGATTAACATGAAATAATGCTGAAATTTTGAGGAAAAATAGTTTCAAAATCACTGGTGTATGCCAAAAAGACACGGCTGGAACAGTATTGATATACATCCTTCGCTTTCGCATTCAAGTATAGCAGAACCTTACCTTTTCATGTACATCCTTCACTTTTTTTAATTTGATTTCTGTTTGAGTTTTTTTAAAATTACTAAAAATTTAGATAATTGTTAATTTTAAAATTTATAAAATTAATCAAAATACATTTAAGCTAATTTAAACATCTATGTTAATAAAAAAAAACTTATAAAACTTATAGCTGAACCTGTTCATATGAACTTATATTCAGTTGCATGAGTCTTATGAACTTATAGCAGAACCTGTTCGTATGTACTTATATTCAGTTGCATGAGTCTTATGAAAAAGTGTTTTTATTGGAGCTTTGAAATCTTCAGGACATATTATAAGGTCACCTTGGCTCAGCAAATCTCGTGTTAGCTTGAAGTTTTTGTCTCAGTGTGGTGCCTCTCTCGTTTCTTTTAGGACAATATAGGGATGTGATGGCCCGAATGTTATATAGACAGTGAAAAAAATAAAATATAATTATTTGGAAGTTTTTTAAATTTTAATAAATAAATTTAGAAATTTTTAGAAATTTATTACTTAAAATTTTATCTTCTTTGATTTTGTATAACTCTTTAAATATTAGATTTTTGTGAATTATAAAGCATTCAATTATTCAAAACCACTAATAAAAAATCTTTTAAATTCTTATTTAGAAGAAATAGATTGTTATATTTAAGCACTAATTCTCTATTTTGTGATTTACATAATTTTTTTATTTAACAAAAAATTATATCTAAAATGAAAGGCATAACTCACTATTTATAGACAAATCTGAAAAATCCTATAAATTGATAAGATATCAATTTACGCCTTGAATAATATCTATATATTAATTCAGAATAATTTTAAAAATTAAATGAATTAATTTCTTACTTGATTTTTTTAAATCTAAAAATATAATTTATGTATTAATTATATTTTAGTTCTTAATTTTTAAAATATATTTTAATTAAGTGATATTTAATTAAATTATTTCAATTTAATTTTTTATTATTGATTTTTAATATATATGATTTATTAGGTTTTAATATATTGGGGATAATATAAATTCTAATTCTAAAATTAAATAAATTTTCTCTACAGTAAAACACAAAAGTTAATATTAATTGGCTCGTGATAAGTTGTACCAGGATATTATTTCGACATTGAGGGTTCTACAGTAAAACACCATTGTTTTTTTAGTTTTTAGTTTTTATTTTTTTGTTAATATTAATTGGCTCGAGATAAGTTGTGCCAGGATAAATATAAATCGCTAATGATGAGTCGGCTTACTGACAGTACAAGCTATAAATGTACAGCTAAAACTTACATATTTCTGTATTAAACCTTATTTTTTATTTTTTTAATATATATTTAAAAAATATTAAATTAATTATTTTTTAATAATTTTAATGGACTATATTAAAAATAAAAAATATATTTAAAATAAAAAA